GGGTGCGTGTGTGTGCCCACGGGGGTGTGCGTGTGCCCACGGGGGTGTGCGTGTGCCCATGGGGGTGTGTGTGTGCCCAAGGGGGTATGTATGCCCACGAGGGTGGGTGTGTGCCCACGGGTGTGTGTGCCCACGGGTGCGTGTGTGTGCCCAAGGGGGTGTGTGTGCCCATGGGTGTGTGTGTGTGCCCACTGGGGTGTGTGCCCACTGGGGTGTGTGCCCACGGGTGCGTGTGTGTGCCCACGGTGTGTGTGTGCCCACAGGTGCGGGTGTGTATGCCCACGGGTGCCCGGTGCGGGGGGGTGTACGTGTGTGTTTCCGTGCCCAGGGGCCTGCGGGCGGGTGGGTGTTTGGGCCGTGGGTGCGTGTGCGCGTTGGGGGGCCCAGGCGTGCCGCTGGGCGGGTGTGGGTGTGCAGCAGTGTTGTCACTCCCGTTTCTTTCCTTGTCACGTTTTTCTCCCGTGGTGCCCGGCAGTCTGTGCCCCTGAGATGTCTTATTTTCACCCCCGCTGCCCCACTGCCGCCTCATTTCCTGACATCTCCCTCGCCTGCCTCCCTACCTCTTCTTTTTGCCCCGTCCTTCCGTCAGGTTTTGTACAGCCGCCCCGCGTGTCCCTTGGGTGACGTTTCCACTCTCGCAGTCTGCACCCCATCCTCATCCCGCACTCCCTCCACATCACTTTTCTGAATTGCCTCCGCCCTGCGTCCGTCCTTCCCCACGAGATGGACACCTGAACGTGCCTGGCCTTCTCCACTCTCTTAAACTTTTGCTTTGCTTCTCTGTACACCTGAACGCTCAAAGAGCATGGTCCCGTTCCTTTTTCTCTTTGTGCCTCATCCTGATTTCTGCTTTTCCACAATTCACTGACAGTTCTCACAACAAAAATGAAAGCCTTTGCAGGGCATCCATCCCTTGCTGAACATCAGCCTCGGCTGAAGCGTGCTCTGGTGTGGTCTGAACTGCACCAGGTCTCACCTGCTGAAACTCCTCAGGAAACTTCAACCTGGGTTTGGCGGATGTCAGAGCCAAAAGACAAAAGATGCTACAAGGCTGTGACACAGACCCTCCCGCAGCTGCACACAGGCTGAGGCTTAGCTACTCTAGAGACCAAGAGTGAACAAGCGAGCTGGTTTGAAATTCAAAGTACTTTCAGAGCATTCAGAGGTATTTCCACCCACACAGGCATCACAGCTCCCCGTTCAATTACTGACACCATTTTCTAAATCCTGGATGGAAATTATTGTTAAAGTTCTTATTGCGTCCTATTAAATAAACATAAGAAACAAACAAACAAAATAATCTTGTCCCAGAATTCTTAATCCTCCACTCTACGTTAATTTTATTATTTTAAGATTATGTCATTTTGTGCCCTTTTTCATTTGCAGAGTACATGGAAATTTTTATGAGGATGCTCATTTGAATCAATTTTGAGAGGAAGGCTTATTATATTAACTAAAATGTGTAATCAAAATTCAGACACTGACATGCACTTGAGACATCAAATTTATTCTCAATTAAATTATTAATTTTTCTTAAACTAAGTTTAGAGTTTTATTGAAAAGCCCATTCAACAAAAAAAACACAGTATACCAGCTGTGGAAATGTGCTTTATTCCATTCCTGTGTAGAAAATTGGCAATGTTTTCCTTTATTTTTTTTTCCAATTATTTTAATAATGAGAAAACGTAAGAATTATAGAGTAGTCATCTTTTTGCTTTTCTTGCTGACAATTGGTAATATATTTCCTCTGCTTTGGTATTCAATCTCCTTTCAGAAATTACGTTTGGAAGAAATTAAATCCACCAGCCTGGGTAATAAAAAATTATAACTGTTGCACATGGTGACTAATTTCTACATCTCTACATTTTATGAATAATTCCTGTCAACTAGTTGTAAATAACTATTTTATGAAATTTAGAACAGTACAGAATTACAGAAGGGCTGAAGTTGGAAGGCACCTCTGGAAGTCATCTGGACCAACCCCCCTGCTCATGCAGGACCACGTAGAGCTCAGGACCACGTCCAGATGGTTTTTGAGTATCTCCAGGGATGGAGACTCCACAACCTCTCTCTCTCGACTCTGAGTCAGTCTCACTATAAAAAAGTGTTTCCTGATGTTCAGGGTGAGCCTTCTGTTTCAGTTTGTGCCCGTTGCCTCTTGTCCTGTCACAGGGTACCGCTGGAAAGAGCCTGGCTCTGTCCTCCGCACACTCCCTTCAGGTATTTATACACGTTTATAAAATCCACCTGAGCCTTCTCTTCTCAACAGTCCCAGCCCTCTCAGCCTTTCTTCCTAGGAGAGGTGTTCTAGTCCCTTCATCATCTTCGTGACCATTCATTGCGCCCTCTCCTGTCCATGTCTCTCTTGTACTGGGGAGCCCAGCACTGGACACAGCCCTCCAGGTATGGCCCCACCAGTGGGGAGGAGTTACCTGCTGGCAGCGTTAGCCCAAGATACCATTAGTCTTCTTTGCTGCAAAGGGCACACTGTTGGCTCATGGGCAACTTGGTGTCCACCAGGACCCTCAGGTCCTTCTCTGCAAAGCTGCTTTCCAGCCAGGTGGCCCCCATACTAGTGTCTGAGGTGGTTGTTTCCCAGTGGCAGGACTTTGCACTTCTTCTTACTGAACTTCTTGAGGTTCCAGTCATCCCATTTCTCCAGCTTGTTGAGGTCCCTCTGGATGGCAGCACAACCCTCTGGTGTATCAGCGACTCCTCCCAGTTTGGTGTCATCAGAAAACTTGCTGAGGGCACGCTCTGCCCCATCATCCAGATCATTCATGAAGATATTGGACAGGATTGGGCCCATTATTGACCTCTGAGGTAGAGCACTAGTTACTGCCCTCCAACTAGACTTTGTGCCACTGATACCACCCTCTGGGTCCAGCCAGTTTTCAATCCACCTCACTGTCTGCTCATCCAGCCTGTACATCAACAGCTTCTCTGTGAGAATCTTATGGGAGACAGTCTTGAAAGCCAGGTAGACAACAGCCACTGTTTTGCCCTTGCCCGCCAAGCTAGTCATTTCATCATCAAAGTTTATGAGGCTGGCTAAGCATGATTTCCCCTCAGTGAATCCATGCTGGCCACTCCCAATCACCTTCTTCTCCTTCATGTGTCTGGAAATGGTTTCCAGGATTAATTGCTCCATCACATTCCCATGGATCAAGGTGAGGCTGATTGGCCTGTAATTCCCTGGGTCCTCCTTCCTGCCCTTATGAAAGTAGGAGTGACATTTGCTTTCTTCCAGTCCTCGGACACTTCTCCCAGTTGCTATGATCAATCAAAGCGTATTGAGAATTACCTTGCAATGACATCTGCCAGCTCCCTCCTCACTCATGGGTCCATCCCATCAGGGCCCATGGACTTACCCATGTCCAGCTTGCTTAAGTATTCCCTGACCTGATCCTCTTCCACCATAGATACATTTTCCTTGCTCCAGGCTCTTCCCTGTCTCTGGAACTTGGGTTTCCTGAAGGCAGGTCTTGCTAGTAAAGACCAAGGTAAAGAAGGCATCCAGTACCTCAGCCTTTCCCTGGTCCTGTGTCAGCAGGTCCCTGGTCTCACTCAGCAGTGGGCCCATGTTTTCCCTAGTCTTCCTTTTGTCAGCTATGTACTGGGAGAAACCCCCCTTGTTGTCTTTGACACCCCTCACCAGATTCAATTCCTTTTGGGCTTTGGCTTTCCTAACCTCACCCCTGCATGCCCAGACAGTGCTTTTGTATTCCTCCCAAGTTATGCATCCTTGCTTCCACCTTCTGTATGCTTCCTATTTAAGTTTCAGTGGGCTTTCCTTTTTGTGGGCCAGGAGCCCCTAGTTCATCCACTCAGGCCTCCTGGCATTTTTGCCTGACTTCCTGCTCATTAGGATGGACGACTCTTGAGCTTGCAGGAGGTGATTGCCGAATATCAACCGGCTTTCTTGGGTCCCTCTTCCCTCCAGGGCCTTATCCCATGGGACTTTTCTGAGAAGAACTTTGAAGAGGCCACACTCTGGTTTCTCCAGGGCTATGTGCTTGCTTTTTGGCTGGCTCCCTGCTCTCATGGCTGCTGCAACAAAGACTCCCTTTGACCTTCACATCCCCAGTGAGTCTGCCCTTGTCTGGGAGCAGAGCATCTGTCCTCATTGTCTCCTCTATCACTTGGGTCAGGAAGTTGTCATTGGTGGTCTCCAGGACTAAAGTCCTCCATGAGGACAGGGTCTGGGAATCTGAGGCTGCTCCTGTCTGTCTGTACAGGGTCTCATCTGCTGCTTCTTCCTGGTCAGGCATCCTGTAGCAGACATCCATTGTAATGTCACCCATACTGGTCTGCTCTTCAACCTTCGCGTTGTTCACATCCTTGTGTTGGCTCATCATCCACCCGCGGGCAGAGCTCCAGGCACTCCAGCTGCTCTCTCACATAATGGGCAACTCCAGGTCTTAGCCTGTCCTTCCCAAAGAGCCTGTAGCCCTCCACTGAAACACTCCAGTCATGGGAGCCGTCCCACCACGTCTCCGTGATCCCTGTGAGCCTGTAGCCCTGCAACTGCACACACATCTCTAACTCATGTTTATTCCCCGTGCTGCATTCATTGGTGCAGCATTGGCTCTTCAGAGAGTCACCCTGGCATGCTCATTTCACCAAAAAGGGTCTGGGGTTTTATTCCATAAGGTTGCCTTGTCAGCACTTCCTTGCTTACATGCAAATGCTTGAGTCTGGCTCAAGACTTGATCTGTCGTTTTTTTTGTTTCCTTTTGGTCACATTTCTCCAGCCCCTTTGCTCATCACCCCTGTCCATCACTCCCTCACAGAGCTGCTGGTGACTGTCCCTCCCACATCGTTCCTAGTTGAAAGCTCTTCTCACCAGGTCAGCCATTCTGCTGGCAAGGATGCCTTTGTCCCGATTAGTGAGGTGGATCCCATTTCTCCCAAGCAGATGCTGATCCTCAAAGTCCCATGGCTGTAGAAACCAAAACCCTGTTGCTGACACCATGTCCTCAACCAGTTGACACACAATCATCTCCTCTTCCTCCTCGTATCCTTTCCCCTCCCCAGCAGGGTTGAGGAGAACCCCATCTGGGCCCTCATGACCTGACTATCATGCCCAGAAGGAACACTGTTGGCAGAAAAGGCGCTATTTTTTAAAAAAAAAAAGTGTCTTAAAATTTCTAAAAATTATTTTCATGCCTCTCTTTCCTAAAAAGTAGATCCATCGCACATCAACAACATCCTTCTGACATTGCAAGGGGTGGAAATATCAATCTAATGCCCTGCTTAAATTGCTCATAACTTGGCCAGATTGTGATATCTTGGACTGAAATTTGCACTTCTTAATCAACAAGTTCAGCAAAAGGTAGTCCTGACAGTGAGATGAGGAAAAAACACTTTGTTTTCCTTCATTTCAATTTGTTTTAGGACTTGGCTTTGCAAGTTACAGTGACTCTGTGATTTTGAATAGGGAGTTGAAATGTAGCTGTGATAGAGGTACATGTTTTACAGTTCCTGTTTGGGGGGAGAACTAAAAGCACCCCTCAAAACTACTAACAATCGAATTTCACCAAGTAATGAACTTCTGAAAAAATATCTTTAACACACGGTCGTTAGAGAAATGATCCAAAGGTGTTGTCTGGAGGTGCACCAAGCATGCTCCAGCTCTTGCTGCTTGAATCCCATGTCTGTCACTCCTGCACAAGCACCACGGGACACTCCAGCTGAGGACAACTGAGCACGTCACCCGTGCAATTGCAGTTCCTCTGGGTCACGGTGGCACCAGTCACCGGTGTTTGGAGAGAGAAGACTGTCCCGTCGGTGCTCTTCCATGTGCTTCCTGCTGCCCAAGTTGTAACAAAGGCAGGAAGCAGAGGATGGCGTGGGAGCATGGGCTCCACCAAACGCCAGCCCAGGGGCTGAAATCCAGGGTGAAGACGCTTGTCAGAAGGGGATGAAATACTGGGCAACCCATTTGACAAAAGTCAGTGAAGCTGCAAAGTTAAGCAAGGAAAGGTTGAGAAATCCTAGGAATGACGTTACTTGTAAGTTTGAAGTTCAGCCCCCTTAAGTGTAGGAATAATTTTGCATTTCTTAATTAGATGCTCACATATTCCTCTTCCCACAGGATCCTGCCTTTTTTTTCAGCAAATGAGCTGTTCTTCAGTAGTCCCTTTCATCTTCTACACTCGATGTGCAGCTCAAGCTATTATTTAATGCATATTATATAACCCTCAAACTCGATGCAGAATTATTCATTCCCCTCTTTCTTTGAGATCCTGTGGGGCTTTTACCGTTATGTACCCATGGATCCCAAGCATTAATGAATGTATTTTATCCAGCGTCATGTGCAAACAGCTGGGATTATCATCTCCATTTTGGGGATGGGGAACAGAGGCAAAAAGAGATTAATGCTACTCTTTTCGAGTATCTGCTGATGCTGGGTAGATGCCTTGTAGTTTCTTTTCCAGGGAACTTGCTGTTTTACGAGTTGGGTGGGACATGAGACACCCGCATGAGGCGGGACATGTAGCATCGGAGCATGGGAGCTTTTTTATGGGGTTATTTTATGCTGCTGGCTTCGGAGGAGGTTGCTCCTGCAGATCCCGAGTGGGAGGAGATGTCTCACTGCAACACCAGGTCGGCAGCCTGGGCCCCCTTGGAGGGATGGGGTTTGAACCCCTCCTCTTATCTCTCTGTTTCCCACCAGTGAGCCTAGGTCATCGTGCATCATGTCCTGTGAATTTCTCTCTTTCAGTGGCTAATGCTCTGTGGGGCATCCCAGGCACTCAGCAAGTCTTCTGAATCGCCAGGTACCTGCATGAGACTGTGCAGCTCTGAAAAATGAAATACATTGTGGTTTTTATAACAAATATTACATTTATTCGCAGGCTTCCCTTTACAATCCTAGCCTCTGGAGTCCTGTGATAACTTGAAAATCTGTGCTTTTGTTTCTTTGTGCAGAACCTGCTTACTCCATGCTGGCTGCAGAAAAGGTCCTGAAGTGTACTGTTCAAGGCTTAGATACTGAGAGACAGATCAGAAGAGCTAAAATTCATCATTGTTCTAAAAATTTCATTATTTTAAATCAACCCTGGTGCATTTTGAGTGCTGGGAATTGGCGAGAGTATACCATAAAAATTCTAGATTAGGTGGATAAAGTGCATTTGATGATTTATAGATATGAATAGCATGTTCTACTTATAAAGTAGCTCTTTAGGGGCCTCAGGCTCTACTGAGAAATCTGAGGGGAAAACAGGATTTCTGAAGTTGACATGCAAGATAGCTGCATTCACCTGTCTGTAACAGGACACACTGATCCAATAGGCTAATTCAAAGAGCAAATTGAGCTAACAGGTTTTGTAATTAGAAAATGTGGTGTTCACCGAAGTGGAAACATTTTGCAGATACAAATCAATTTCTGTAATTGTATTTCTTGGGAAAAAAAAATAAAATTACATAACACCTTTCAATAAAGTGGAAAGGTTCTGTTTCAATAATTGCAGAAACTAACATTTTGATATAGCATTTCCAAATGATTTAGTGTACTGAAATTGTTCTATGTAATACAGAAATAATGTTGATTTTTTTTTTTTTTTTTTTTTTTTTTTACAGTATATTTCTGGGGATATGTTTTATAAAATACATCTATAAATACTCCCTTTTCTTCCAGTTTTGGAAAAGAGAGATATTTAAAGCTGCAGAATTTCCTTTAAAATGGAAAAACCTGGTCTTTCCAGGTCTAGCTCGGCAAGTAAGAGACTTATTGGGCCTTAACCCTGAATTTAAACTATAAATTCTTCAACCTATGAATAGTCTTTTAGTGTGCTCTTCTACACACCCTGGCGTAACTGGGACTTTATCTTCACTGCAGCCTGTGCCTGTGTTGATATTGTCATAAAACCGATAATACAATGATCTGCCTGCCACAGGCAGGTCATTTAAACTATCTACTTACCTTCCTTATTGAAAAATTAAAAGTTATAGCATTTACTTACAAAATAAAGTTTAAAAAGTCAGAAAATCATAAGCTAAAAAATGTAGCACTTCATCCACCAAGTCAGTGGAAAAATGGGCTTGGGATTAAGCCCTAAGATTATGGTTGGATCTAAAATGTAGAGGACTGATTGATCTTGATTACTTTAAAATTACATTTTATATCATCAACAGCTACTTCTCAAGTAACATCTTTAATTATGGATTGAAGGCAGTTTTACAAAATCCAGAAAGTTGTTGGTGGTTTGGGTGTTTTGTTTTGGTTTGGTTTGGTTTGGGTTTTTTTTTTTGGAAGGCTTTTATTAAGAAAAAACAATTTACACTGACTTTAATGGAAAATATTGATAGTCTTGTAAATCCTTTAATCTAGAAGGAATCAACATGGTTTATAGATTAAATATCTGCAGCGTACAGCAGTCAAATGCAGCATGCTGCTCCACCAACCTGTGTCCAGA